TTAACAGGTGTAAATATCCTCTGTTCTGTAGATAAGTTACTTGGCCCTATAAGATTACAAGTACTTCAATATATTAACAAAGGAAGAGGGAAAAGATACAAAACTTCTTTATGATACAATGTTTCACTAGAGCTCATTTATATTCCTTTTCTTATCAAATGTCAGGCTGGGAAGTTAAGGTGAGACTGGGTACTGGTGGCTTCCCAGGTGGAAAGTGCAGCACATACTTGCCTACAGAACTTGCCTACAAGAAAAGAACTTGCTCTTTTCTTATGCTTATGAAGCCATAGCATGTTAAAAGCTGAAAACTAGCGATTTAAATTTCTTAAATGCCTTTAGAAAACCAAGAACTCAGCCACTGCCAAGAGAAACATGACTTCTTGAAACTGGACAGCGTTGCTTGGGTTTCCTTTGAAGAAAAAAAAAAAAAAAAGGAGGAAAAAAAGGAGAGCGAGCCAAATGCCTGAAATATGTAAGACAGAGCGATACAGAGTTAAGGGGAAGCTACATAGGAAGCAAAGCAAAGCCCAAAATAAAGAGCAGGAATGGAAAACTAAAAATAACAAACAGGAAAGTGTGACACAGCTGCAAGGGCTCTGGCGCATTCTCCCCCAGCATTGTACCTTTTTTTTTTTTTCAGGAACATACTAATAGTGTGTTTGGATTTCAATGGCATTCCAAACCATTATTTGTTCTTCAAAAATAGATGTTTCTCCTGTGAGGAAGAAAGATGTTTTCAAGTAATGTTCATAGGATTTCTGTTGTTTCAGTTTATCAGAAACCACTTTAGTTAGGCTCAGTGTTTGCAGAGCAGAAAAACTGCATCGATTATGTAACTTTTTGAAGAATTAGTCCGTCTCCTTGGAATAGTGAAGATAAGCTCATGCATAATCAATCAACTGCTGCCCTTAATTTCAAATGAGTTTTTTTCTTAATAGCTTTCAGAAGTAGGAAGGGAGCAAGCACATGAATCTGAGATGCAACCACTTTGGAAGCACAGTGAATGGAAGAGGATCAGGGAGGATTAGGAACACCATGTACTAATAAAGTTAAGGAAATCTCCGTCTTTCTCTTCATCCAAACACAAGTTTGTTTATTTACACAGAGCATTTTGTGGGACCAGGAAGGCAGCTCAGGGGACGTGGGGCTGCCAGAACTGTGGCTGGATCTCCACTGGTGCCTGCAGAAAAGCCAGTCTCCCCAGGCATGGGTGCCACACACCCACCCAACCATGACTGAAGTACTCAGCACTTATACAGGTGTGCATTGGCTGCTGCCAACGAGAGGGCAAGGAATGCTTCAGCATGTGCATGTCTTGCTGTTTTAACACCTATTTGGTCACTAACTCACCCATCCTGAAATAATTAAGCCAAGTAGTTGAGTTGTGCGTGGTTTCTGGCCACCCAGAAGATAGATGGTGCCACTTTTGGAAGAAAAAAAAGCCTGAACATATCGATTTGTCAGCCTCAGTTTCCTTGGACAGTGACAAACCCTTGTGAATACCATATTAATGCAGGCCAAAGTGAAAATCATGATGTTTGTGAAGTTATCTGTCCAATTCGTGAAAATCCTATTTTTGGCAGACACAACAAGAACAGGAAATATTTACCAATTTTGCAGGTGTCAGGAAATATTTTCAAAGTGCTGCTGTGACCTGACAGTCCATCTAAATAGATAGCAAGCATGTACATATATTTTCATTTAAAATATATACTTTGATGTGTTTGCTCCAATATCTGTGTCCTAACAGGTTAGAGCGGCAAATTCCTATGGTGAATCACACTGTAGTGATAAATCTCACAATACAAGTGTGAATGCTTTATATAATGAAATCATACATTAGGGTACGTTAAAGATGTTTCTCATAGTTGATATTGATAAGGCTGTTTTTCATTAAAATTTATTAACACCAGAAATATATTTCTTACATATTATTTGAACTGTGGGTCAAATACATTTGAATATATTTTAGACTTTTCAATTCCGTGTATTTCAGACACTGCTCTAAAACATTTGATTATATATTGTTTGAATTGTAATGGTGTCTGCAACACCCTATAATGGAGACTGTAATACAAACTGCATTAAAGCACAGTTCTTATCAGTGTCATCACATATTAGATAAAAAAATGAGAGTCTTTGCATATATTATGTAGCTTACCATTCAGCAGCTGAGAAAGTAACAGCTACCTTCCAAAAATGAGGCCTATTTGCCAAACATGTTCATACTGTAAGTAATGTATGATCCCACTAAAACCAAAATAAATACTAGATGACAGGACTACATTATGTGATGAACAATTTCACTGCTTTTACTTCAGGAGTAGTAGTGGATTTGGCAGTGTCAGGTTAACAGTTGGACTCAAACAGTCTTAAAGGTCTTTTCCAACCTAAACAATTCTACTATTCTATGTCTCTATGATAATTTCCATTATTTCTCATCCTGGTGTAGTCCCATTGTCACTGGTAACAACAGATAAATTTTTCAATGGATAAAGGATAAAATAAAAGGATGAAAGACTCTAATTTCATCTTGAAATCTATTCTGTGTGTAACAAATTATCACTGAAGCAGCTAAAGAGATACAAAAGCATTTTATAAATATGATGAAAAAGAGTAAAAATCATCCAAAAAATGTTTTCAAGGCGTTCCTCTCCATCTCCTCCTTTCTCCTGACTTGCCAGTTATGGATTCACAGGTTATTCCTCTATGAAAAATGAAAGAGCTTCAAGGAGTTACAGGCTCTGCTCCAGAGCTACATAGTCCCTGGCATGGGAATGGCCAGGCCAACAAGAAAAGACAACTTCCATATCCTTCCTGTACTGGAATTGGCCAAAGAGTGGCTGCTCCAAGTAGGCAGCTAGGATCCAGCCACCTTGTTTTGAAGGTGGTTGAAGCGGTGGACGCGGGACACCAGTCATTTTCTGCAATCATGAACGGTCCCAGAAATTTGCTGAAATAGATGCACATGTCATGGAAAAATTTCTGTGGACTTGAGACCAAAAGCATACCTAAGCTGCATGTGGCATGGCTGTACCATCACCAGCAGGCTTACTCTTGACAGATAGACACAATAGACAGTGATGCTTTCAGTTGTTATTTTTTGTGAGATTTTTATTGAACAATAATAATATTACACTCTTTAAAACCAAATGTACTTATTAGATTTACATTCAAGAACTCATAATGTCATTTATGACACTGTTGCAAAATATTAATAATGTATGCAGTATTTAGTACATTCTTTAAATATTTCTCATCAGTCTGCTGGAAGACCAAGGGTTTGATCCTGCTCTCACTGAAATCAAGAAAAAAAATTACTTTTGATATCAGTAGATTAGAATCAATTCACTTGCTAGTAAATAGCCCAAGAAAACATTATTCCCTCTCAGACCCTAACATTCAATACTGGTTAAAATGTGGCATTATGCTAGTTTGAGATTTATGTTTGTATGTCTCCAATTATTACGGCAAGAGAATCTGCACTTTCATCGTGACATTTGGATGTCTACTGCTGTCATCATCCTCTTGTTCCAGATCAGCAGGATTCATGCCTGCTTTCCCAGGTGAAAGCATCCTGCTTTCACAGATGTTGACTTTGGATCTCTTTAAAGGCATCCAAGTTTCTGTTGTTCATAGTTTTAAAAGCATGCTTTTAGATCCTGAACTAAACTCTGGCTGTTGTACTTTGTGTTCTTTCTTTCACTGCAGTCATTGTCACAGCTCAGGTTGATTTCAAAGGAAATGTTAAAATCAAGCCACACTTCCAAAGAGAGTGCCCTGTGTTACAAGGCTGTTCCTAAACTCATGGCACCCAGGCTCACTCTGACACAGCACCATCCATTTTTATTATCTGTGGATCTGGTCGTTTTCAGGCATATTAGCAAGCCTTTCTTGGTGGTGATTTTTTAACTTAGGCAAATATCATCCAGCTTAGGCTGAATGAGGGGCTGCCCATTCCTGCAGCGCTCTAACACATGTAAGTTATTCTCCTGGCTGAAATGGGATCCCTTGCTCATGCAATTGAGAAACAAAGGACTGGGTACCAAAATACTGTAGTCTGTGGCTGCACTATCACTTGCTGAGGGTTCAAGGCTTCCCTGGTTCAAATAAATGCCCTGTGAGTCACATCTGGGCCATAGCCAGCAGTGAAGATGGAAAGCATGAAGGTCCCTTTGCTGGCCTCTCACCACTCTTCCAGAAAAAATGCAGATATTGCCTTAATGACACCAACTAGCTGGTTTATAGAAACATATATACTTAAATAATGATAAGCAGCTTCTTTTGTTTCAGATCCCCTTCTACAAATTGGTAGAATTTACCAATCTGCTGTTTTTCTGTACAAAATTTAACTTCAGAAATTCAACTAAATACAAAATATGTCTGCAGTGTCTTGCCTAAGTTATTCACAATGTATAAACTGAAGTGCTGGATGTTTTCTCTCTGAAGAAAGGCATATTTGTCTCTGAGGAATTGTCACCAAACTTCCAAAAACTAGAAAATTTTTAACAACTTTTGTTAGTTTATTTAATTTACACTGTTGTGCTTTTGTTGTTATTATTGTTATTGCACAGGGGTGTTCCTTCCATCTGAGGTGTTGCTTATATGTGTTTCTTTCACAATGGCTCCACATCAATAGTATCACTCACCCAAATTGTCCCCTTCATTCAGTGAGAGCTTTTCCAGCATCAGGTTGGCAAGAGTCAGCCTCTGGCACTATTTGAATGATCATGTTGGGTTTTCAGTATTACTATACATTCAAAAAGCCACAATACATTTCTCTGTTCAAATACTTATCAAAACAAATATCAAAAGTCATATACACTGTACAGTCTATTTTTAAGTAAACATTTTTTTCATTAAAAACAAGTCACATTCGAGCTTAAGAGATTACATATTCATACATTATAGATTTACTTTGTTCTTAAAGTGTGTTGTTGCATATTCAATAATCTGTGAGAAATGCATTCACTTGAAAGTCTTACAAGTGTAAGTAAATATCAGCGAGGATTTAGCCATTTCATTACTGGAGAGCGAATAACTTTCTCTTTAACAAATTCCTCTTTTACAGAATTTCCATCCCCTGATGCCATGTCACTATCTGAAAAAAACACAAAAATTAAGGTGGATTTCATGAACATAAGAGCTTTAAAATATTATCCTGCAGCATTGTCCCTGGTTTTATGAATACTTCAGAAAATCCTTAACTGGTATGTTTGCAGAAAACTCAGTAAATTACCTCCAATTACCTAGCTGCAAAATTTCTACCAAATTAAGGCACAAGTCATATCTGTTTTCTAATAGTTTAAGCATAAGGCTGATGAGTTGACTTCAGTTTCCAGTTCTGACTGTAACACTCACTCCAGTGTGACACAGAACCAAGCAACACATCCTCAATAACTACAGCAGTAAGTTAAACTCCCCTGCAGCTATTCTCTGACTGAGGCCAGCTGGCATGGAATAGCCTGGTGTGTGCCACTAAACTCTCTTTCTCTCCAAAAATAGGTAAAAGATACTCAGTTTATCAACTAGAAACAGTCCCTGGCTGAGGCTGATTCCTAAGCTGTCACTGGGGTTGTTTGGCACAGCTAGCTGGCTGGGGACACAGTGTGCTGTCCACTGCCCTCCTGTCTGACCGTGAAAGGAGTAAAATTGCAATGTACAGCACCTCTGACACCTTTAAGTTTGTTCGGCATATGTAGGCATAGGCATAGTGTTTTGTATAAAACATATGGGTCAGAAACTTGCCTGTTTAAAGCAGAGAAGCATTTACAGCTGTTTTAATTCACTGATGATCACTTAGATGCTATAGTTACTTCTGAAGACCCCTTTCACATGAAACCCTGTGTGACCACCCCATGCAGTACTGCTCATAGTGTCCCTGATCTGCTAACAGTGACAGACCTCTGAGGACAGAAGTAATTGGGAAATTTTGCAAGGGTAAATAACACTGTTTGTTTCCATGCAGTGGATATCTCATCCTGGCTGGGGTATGTCAAGCAGTTAAACATTGAGGCAGCAGAAAATCTGGGACCAAAGGCAAGTGGGGAAGAGAAAGGGGGAGGAGGAAATGATGCAAATGGGCTGTCTGGGAAGGTTTGGAATATAGGCTAGATACAGAAAAAAGCAAGCACACTCATTATTTTGACACCCTCAGTAATAAATAGAAGAAGGAAAGGCAAAAGAGCACAATCATGCAGAAAAATACAAAAATATCAGAGCTGATTGATCTCATAAGAGGTTTTTTTGAGATTATTTTAAATGTGATATAAGCTGCAGAAGTTTGCTTCAACCTAACTTTCTCTGAGCAGAGAAAGAGAGAAAGATAAATCTTGTATTAAGACAGCAAACTCTACACAGTTTAATATAACAGAAGAAAATTAAAAATTGCGCACAAGCTGCAGTTGGAGAAGAAATGAAATCGAAAAATCTTTGGTGAAACCCTACAAAAGATCCCAGTAGACCTAGAATCAAATCTCTGGGGAGGTTTTCTGACTTCTACACATTTGCATTTATTTTGGTTTCTCTTTATATTTAGAGTAAGCATTGTTCAGTCAAACATACCTTAATATCATCAGGTGGGGAAAAAGGGGAAAAATTTTAATCCCACCTCTAAAAGCTTCAGTGATCTTTCCTTGGTGCATCAAAAACACTCCAGTTTGTCACACTCCCTTTTTTCTTTTTTTCCTTTTTTATTTTTTAATTTTAATTCTGGACAGATCTATTACAAGCTTCAGACACAAATGTAAGGGAAATAAATTATTCCAATGATACTGTGACAAATGACTACAATAAAACATTTAATAAAACCTTTCACTGACAACTGAAAACATATAAAGCTCTGTCCTCATGGGGAAAATGAAATGCTGTTTTTACTGTGCATTAGCTAACACTACTAAATGCAATGTAGTGAAATCCTGAACTGACATGCAAACCCTAGCACAGCCTCCTGCTGCACAGGTGAGGCGCTGCTAGCACATGCAACAGTCGCAAAATATTTCAAAATGTTTCTAGCATGTGTCACGGCTCACCTAATTCCTTGCCGCATGTTAAGGAATAGGAAAAATAAACCTACCTTATGTTATTAATGGTTTTCACAGCTCCACCAAAGTACCCACCACTCATACACAGAGTGGTAGTAGATGATGTGCAAGTTGTTTTCTGCTAAAATCACCTGTCCCACAAAGTCTCACCTGTGTGTGAGGATATTTTTCGTCGATTTGGAGGCTTTGAAGCAGATAGTTGAAAAAACGGGAACTTCAGACACTTCCCTGTTACTCTGTCACAGATGCCGGAGGGACAGTTGCAGGTTTTCCTGCATTCCATTCCATAGCTACCATAGGGACACTCTGGAAAATAAAATATAGCAAAGCAGTTTTCAGTGATCCAAGTCAGCTGCTATCTTAATAGCTGGTCTGCTTGAAAGTGGAAAACCTTTGAGTGGAGGTCAGCTAGACCTTAGCCACAGGATTTCAGCATGCTGACTGCTTTTTACAATATCTTCTAGTACTAACAAATCTTGACACACTTTACATACATCATTACATTTCCTGTAACTTATTTATACAATGTGCTACTGGTAATCCTTCTCTGAAACACTCTTAGATTTAAGTGCATTCTAACATTACATTGCCTTAGTTAAAGGCATCATGAATATGTAGGTATATAATTATAGAAGATTTAGTTAAAGGGTTAGCACTAAATTTAGAAGGGAAGATGACTCCAGAAGTTCCCTGAACTCACTGTGTGGTTCACTGTGATATTATCTGACTTTCACGATGATTGATATTTAGAGCTGCAGTCCGATGCTGCTGCGGGGCTGCTGTGGCCTGGGCCAGCAGCCTGGGAGGAGGATGCAGCCTGACCATGAGGAGCTATCCAGCAAACTCACCATCCACCTGGAGGTGCTACTGGGTCCTCAGGAATAGCCTCCCACCAACACCTTCTCAGACAGCCAGGTTCTGCCTTCCCATGGCAGACAGCTCACCTGCATCTCCAGCCTGAAGAGTGAGGATGGCCTAAAGGGATCTCTGGCACTAAGGCAGCTCCCTGGTTATGCTGCATCTGGTCACATAATGCCCCTATTCAAACCTCACATCCCTGAGCAAGCTTGGGGAGGAGCACTACAAAGCAGTTGCTAGGATGGGAACAAATGTTTTCCAAAGAAAATTAAGTCAGGAACAGAAGATTTTCCCTAACCCATAGCTGACACATATCACATGCTGGGCCATATAACTTCCCAGAGGGTTTAAAGTAGGGGCTATGGCCCTTGTCTTCATCTGCATTGCTGTTGAATAGGATACCTTCCTAAAACCATTGCTGAAGAGCAGAGACTGGGAAAATCCATGTCTAACACCTTCTTTCCAAACCCACAAACAGGTGATCATTCCCAGGAGAGGTTTGAGATATCCCAGGAGAAAGGCTGTTATGTTCAGACTGTCCTTGCCAACTCAAGGTACATGGTCACCTTAAATGGCAAGGTCTGGAGAGCTTCTGATTCACCTCCTAAGGGCAGATGAATGATGATTCAGGGCTGGACCAAGGAACCATCTAGCCCAAGCCTCCACAAAACTCTTAAGGAGGGTGGCCATAGTAAGCACAAATAATACCTCTCCCCTCATTTTGTCTCTCCTTTTCAGCTATGAGACCTTCTATCCAGACATAGTTTCTTTGTATATAACACCCCACAATAAAATCACCTTTTCAGTTTGTTCAGTCTCCTCTTGAGTGAAATGCAAACTTTTAGCTTTGCCATACAGCCTAGGTAATATGAAAATCAAGCTATTGCACTACCGTTACACAGTTATAGTGTAGCCAACATTTTACAATTCTCTGTGTATCAAATGGATTTATGGATTTATAAGAATAAATCCATAAATCCATTTCTTAATTATTCTTCCTGAGGGCTAGGAAGAAAATTATTCTTCCTAGCCCTCAGCGCACTCTCTTTCCCAGGAATGACTCTTCGATCTGCTGCATGTCCACATAAAACAAAAGCAAAATCCCACCCAAGCAGAGCTGTTCTTGTGTGCATATCCTCCCTGGGAGACAAGCAAAGAGCACACACTAAATGGAGCATCAATCTGCCTTCTACAGGTGCTCAGAAGTGTGAGAAGTGTGATGCAGAGATGCGCACATCAGCACAGAAACAAGTCTGAGCCCAAAGCACTTGGCTCTGTATGGAATGACCCTGGCATTGGTGCTGCTTTTTACATTTCTTGACACTGACAACTGAGTAAATTTATATTTTAGAAGTTTTTTGTTTAATAGGATTCTGCTCCTAAATAAATTGCAGATAGTTCCCAGTAGTTTAATAAAAGCAAGGGCACCAAAAAGTATTTTGCTTTGGGCTGTAATGACATTGCTATTGATAATAGCACAATGCACTGTCCTAATAATAATAAAAGTATCCCAAAAAATTGTTCTGGAATATATACAGCCCGTTTTTGAAACAAGAAGTTGAAAAACAGAGAGTTCAGATAATTTTTGCAGAACTTCAAAGTAAATTGGCAACAGGAAGCCAGGGAGAATTTAGCCATCCTGCATCTGTCAGTTATTACAAACATGGAAGTTATTAAAATGAGTAAGTGACCTGGTATCATAGCTGCACATGGATACATAAAATAACAATATCTGACTCCAAGGAGAGACTGTACTATCTCAGACCTGAGATGAAGAAAGAAAAAGAATTCAAAATTACATCTATAATATTTAGTGGAAATAAATATATGGGGAATAGAAGCTTTAAGCACCAATTTAAATTTGAAGCCAAGATATGACTTTACTGAAATTAATGAGAGTTTTTCCACTGAACAATTGGGAAAAAAACCCAAACATTTGATTTTGCATTTTCTACAGAGCACCCAAGATTCAGCTATGGGGATTCAGATCTCAACTCCCATAATATTTCTTTTTTCCCATTCAAAGGGTGCTATTGCTAAGAAACTCCTATGAGGAAAGCGAAAAGTACAACTAATTCAAAACAACTGTTAATGGAATTATTGGCAGTATCTTGCACTGTGGTGATTTTTAATAAACTGAAGATCAGTCAATTATCTCAGTAAAATATTTTTCTGGTGAGCACAACAAAGATAGAATCTTTATGTGTAAGTTCTACTCATTTGCAATAGAGTTTTGGGTTTCACACTCAACCATGCACATGACTTTATTTTAAATAAGGTAAATAAGTGTGTGCTGTAAGTGAGTCAACCAAAGTGATTTTTGCAGCATCAGGTCCTAAGTCATTACTTTAACTAAGTCTATTAATACTCCTGATATTTAACTGCCAAGTTATTCCCACTTTTAAGGAAGTTATTCTAAGGCTTATCTGTATCTCCTTACTGAAGTGGTACACAAACACAGCAAGACCCACTGCACTAATGCTTCGCAAACTCTCTTTTAAAAATAGTTTATTTTTTAAAAAATTCACCCTGCATCTTACGAATAGAATACATTGCCACCCTGTAAAGATTGCCCTGTTTAAATGGAGTGAGAATAGCTCCTAAAAGAAAAATGTGATTATAGCTTCTGACTAAAGAAATCAGCATGCAACATACCTGGAATAAACTGAACGCAGTGCCTGTCTGCTCATCTCACAGTCAGCTTCTGCTCTGTTATTGCCATCCTTCAGGCAGGAGGGTTTCTGTTTGCCTCCCCTGACCACATCCCTAGGATGACTGAGCACCTCAAAGGCAGGACTAAATTAAACAGGACAAAGTCTCCAGGCACTCAGGCTGTGCTGCTTTCTCCATCCCCCAGACCCCAGCGTGAGCACCTGGTCACTGGGCAGGCAGCCGGCAGTGCCAGAGGGAGCATCACCCCTCGGAGTGTGCAGCTGCCACAGGGACCCTGTGACAAGGTTGGACTTGCAGGATTAAAGTTTTTATAATTTATAGAGAGCCACCCACCAAATCAACAGAAAGAACAGGACTAATGCCTGGGTGTCTCAAGCTCCAGTCAAAAATCTCATCTCCAAGCACACCCTGTCGGTATTTCCTTACACATGTCCCCGGGTAACGTGTAAACAATATCATCACATTAATAAACCTGCCCCAGTACATGCAATGCCTTCTAATGACAACAAGTATTTTTTCCCTTTTTCCTTGGCTAAGGGATGAGCTGTAAAAATCTCATTTTACTCCTTTCAAGCAAGAAGCAAACTCTGCATGTATGTTGCTGTCAGATTGCCACAGGGGGTACATACAAAGTGAACATCATTACCTTTGCAGATACCAAATTCATCACCAAAGTCATCCTCCTCAGTGTAAAACTGGCACTTCAGCCCAGGGCCACACTTGACACCATCCATACCCGAGACAGTACGATAGCAAGTCTCCCCCAGTGCAGCTGCACACACTCTGCAGCAGCCACAGTCATCCAGCACCGTCCGCTTGCAGCGCGCGGTGCTTTTGCATGCGTTACTGTCACAGGGATCAGGGCAATCTACTGCGTATTTCGCACTCCAGGCAGCTCCAGCAGGCACGGGCAGCAGGAGGAGGGTGAGGAACAGGAAGCCCTTCATGTCTTGCAGGGGTAAATGCTCCATCCCAGAGAGCAGGTCTCAGTGCTCAGCCTGCTGATGCCTCTTGCCGAGGGAAGCAGCGGTACAGAATCCAAAGTGGTAGCTGCACACATCAGCCTACAAGTTTATGAGCTTTATAAAGTGTGTTGCCCACATGTTGCACCGTCGTCAGCTTCCTCAATCCGGCAGCGCTGCTCCTGCCAGCCTCCCTTGTTTCAGTTTATGAAATCCAGGATGAAGGTTGGATTAGCACTCTGCTGCCATCCAGGAATTGAAAAGCCTGAGCTGATGTAATCTGTTATGTTTAGTTGGTTGTTTTGCATGAGCACTAAAAACTCTCTCACATCCGTTTCAAATGCTCAAGGACGTCTGCCAAGAGTAAAAAAAAAAAAAAAAAAAAGTAAAAAAACAACCAACCCCGAGGAGGTTGCATACCTTCCTGCAGGACAGGGATTGCTCTGACGCTGGGCACACTGCTGACAGGAGAGCTCTGCCTGGCTATCACGGCATGCATGGCCAGAAGAAAATCACACTGAATCATCTTACTGCTGAAAGAATAATCTTTAGTTGAATAAATCTTTGCCATACTCTTTTAGGGGATGTGGATGGTTATTTTGGGGAATTAAATGAGATCATGTCATTCAATAGCCAAGCTCAGATTTTTCAGTAGTTTTTCCTGATTGCATTGAAACAGTACTTTCTTATCAGTATTTAAGTGGAGGTGAATTAAACATTTCACTCAAAGATTACTGCTAGAACTAAAAACTGGTCAGAAAAAAAACATCATTTTGTGGGATCTTCCACAGGAAGTTCAGGAGAATGAGCAATGAGCTGCCCCAACTTCACAAGTAACGGGGAAATCCCCATCCATCATCAGCACTGTCTGCACAGCGTTAACATGGATCCAGGGGGCTGATTCTTCTCCCTCTACACCACTTCTATTCTGACAAACTCTGTGGGATGCTCTGATGCTGCTCTTTAATGAAGCTAATTAAATAAACAGAAAACAAATCTCAGCTTCCCCTGTCTCCTCTCTTAGACTTACTTTGTCCTGCCAGGGCCTTGACAAGAAACAGCAAACAAGTGGAGCCAGGGCCTTGACAAGAAACAGCAAACAAGTGGAGTCCAGTGAAACTGATGAGCCACTGGAGAGATGAAAATTTCTGCATTAAAAAAAATCTACAGGAAAGGAAAAGAGGAATAAAGCTAGCCATCAATAAACCTCTGAATACCAAAAGTTGTTGCCAGTGAAGTTAGTGGGAACCTAAGCAAACTGAGCTGTGTATGACCAGCTTGTCACTTGGGAGTCTTGTGTCTCAAGAGGGCTAAGGACACTGCTAGTAGGCTGCCAAATAAAATGAAGGATTAGACTAGAAACACAGGAGACCAAGAAAGCCTTTTCTTCATTAATGCAAATGTGAATTGATAAACCCAAACCCAAAATGCTTAACTCTTCTGTCTCTCCCTCATAAGAACACTTTTTAAGGTGTTTCTGACTGGCCTAGTATGTTTGGCACTTGTCAAAAGTCAATGTAAAAAAAAAGAAATAAAAAATTAAAGAGTTAGGTTGAGGTCTCATGTAAACCAAGGCAGTACTATTGGTAAGAATGAGCTGACACCAATTAGTTCAATTAGCAGTAGACAGCTTTATCTTCAAAATGCAAAGCAACTATCCTCTAAGAGGTGAAAAGAGCACTCCAAAGATGGAAATGAAAATTGCAGCCAAAACCAGAGGAGGAATGCAAGTTTAAGGTCACAATGAGGAGATCAATCAGAAATTTATGTCCTACTGCTGACTCCATCACAACTGGACTATTGGAAAATTCTGTTTAAAAAAACCAACCCAATATTTCTTCCATGGTTCTCAGGTCAGCAGAGTAGTGTGAACCACTGTCCATGTCTGCTGGCATAGAATCTGCTAAAACTGACATTGTTTTATATTTATAGGTCAGGCTATAACCTGTGGGGTTGAGGAGCCAGTGTAAATCCCATAGGGCAGTCCCTCATGTGGGAGAGAGATGATAAATGTTCAACCAGAGAATCAGGGAACACAGCTAAGGCTAACAACCCTCTCAATACCCGGGCCAGATCTGCTCCTAATGATGAAATAGACCAAAAAAGAGCTTTGCACACTTGGTGCATCACAGGTCTGCAGCAGTAAGGAGCAGTTAAGTGAATTAAGTGAATTAAGTTAATTCACACCTGCCCTTCAAACTCATACCTGCTTGCTCACTCAGAGGAGATAAGAGATGATGTGTAGTGTGCAGATCCATCCACACATATACTTAGACATTTATGCCTGGTATTAACTACCAGCTGGTAAAATCCTATACTGTAAATATTTATAGGAAATGCTCCTTGTCTAAAACACCATGAGATCTTAAAGGGCTATATGTTACATTTGGGCTTCTCACAGGAAAAATGTCCTAGAGAGATGATAAATAAAAAAATTACACACAGATGTGGTGAGGAAAAGAAATCGTAAAAGGAATCAGCACACTCCCCTAGCAACTAGCCAATATTATTTGGAATAAGATGGAAACTCTATCCTATGCTTGAAGCTAGAGGCCAAAGTAAATTATTACAATGGATTAAAAAAATACATGTAATGGAATAAAACAATATGAACAGATAAATATCTGGATTATATATGAGTATCATGGAGGAAATAAGGATACTATGATCTTCCACACTGTCCATTGATTAAATAGTGAAATAAATCTAATGTCACTCTCTTTGGTCTTAATGTTTCTCTGTTGTTTTACCTGTTGAATCCATTAAGCTTTCCTTTCCAGTGAAAAGTTTAATCCTGTAAAACCCTGAACTAAGCTCTTCCATGAAAATGGATGCAAAGGGAATTAATGAAGCTTCCCCAGTCATCAGCAGCAGAGAATTTGCCACCACTATTTAACTTGCGGTATAAACATATTTCAAAAGTGGAAGACCTTCTGGATCAGATCAGGGCTAATTTTTTTCCAAATTAACAGCACAAATTGTCTTTTTGCCAGCTTATGTCATAATTACATCACCATATATAATGTTTGGCACTTCTTCTAGAAGCAGAAAAAGTTTCAACCCTTGGGTTCCATGCTTTACAGGGGACCAACAATCTAATATCAGTGAGTTTTGCTTCCAGCAGAATACTTCTGAGAACCATTTTTGCATTTCTTTTGTAAATAATCTATTTATCAAGATAAAACAGTGGGACTGTCTTGCAGTTGCATTTATACCCTCTGAAAAGTATGACCCCACCTGTTGAATATCCCCATGAAAAGGCAATCTTCATGATTCATTATTAGCCTGTGCTGGTATATGGGCACAGAATCCTCACTGAGTTAATAGGCTTTGTTCATTTTACTCTTTAGATAGAGAAACATTCACCTCCAGTCTTCTGAATTTAAGTGTTCTGGCCACTGTTGCTATCCAGTCTTTTGAATGTATGAAGTTGGGATAAGCAGGAAGCACTAATATCTCTTTAAACATAGGAAAATATTTAATGCATAACCCTTGTTGCTCATTTCTAAAAGACAGTCCCTAAACTAAAAATATGTTACCACACATTCCTGAACAATCCAACCTTTTCCCAGGCTTCCTCTTCAAAAAGCCGTAAGCACAATGCTATATGAGAAGCAAAAATTCAAAGGGAAACACCAAAAGGAAGCTGAGCTGCAAAGTCCAAAATGAAAAGCCAGAAATAGGAAGTAAGAGATAAGAATCAGGAAAGTGAGATAGCGGCAAGGACTCCCCTTTGTATGATTTCTTTTCTTGTATCTTTTCAATGAATTGCTAATTACTCTTTGTTTCAGCTGTAGCATAGCAACTCCACTCTGGTAAAAATAGGTGCTTTGGGACATTTCCTACTTGCTGAAGGCAAGAGATGTTTACATGCTTTCTCCAGGCAGACCAGGTGCTGTGCAGAGAGCTGGGTAGGCACAAACTGCAGGAGCTATGGCAGAAATTACTGGATGTGCTGGGTTACCTGCAGAGAGCCTCAGGAATGACAGCCGCAGCTTCCTTAGAGCGCTGCAAAAGTGTGTCCACGTGCAAACACGTCCACATGCAAATGTTTGGCATGTTCAGCCTGGGAGCTGCTAGCCAAAATTACTGCACATGATTTATGCTCTCTGAGTTTGCCATTGAAATAGGGCTGCACCCTGTCAGGTCTGTGCTGCTGGCTGAGCCCATGTAGCAGAGTCCTGTGCTTCCATGGGCTCCAGTCACGGCTGGCTCTGACTGCAGGACCTCTGCCCTGTGTGGCCTCTTCACAGAACAGGTATTCCCAGTGATTTTGCAATCACCATAATAATCTGCATAGCACAAATCTCTGGCTTTCTCTCAATTCGGTTACAAATAAGCAAAATAGTTCTATGCTTGGAGAAGGTGTTCAAGAGGCAAAAAAAGTCACAGAGAGGTGTAAAAGTTCTACTACATCGCAATAAGGGTAATTTTTTTTTCCTTGGTGGGAAAGTCTGGGTTTGTCATACCCAATAAATATGCAGTTGATTTAAAGAGGAAACATGATGAAAAAATAGGTTGTGACTCTGTTATGCTGAAAACTTTTAAATGCTTTCAAGACATCTACATGTCCAGAGCAAAAATCATCTTTCAGTGCCCAAGACCTCCAAGATCCATACCAGGGAATTTCAGAACAGTACGAGAAAATCACATACCTTTTCTATACTTCAGGAAATCTGCTTCTCTGGATACAATGATTGGCCACTCAGAGCCCAAAACTCTGCCTTCAAACACACACCTTATCAATTTGTCAGGAGGTGCATCTTTTGTGACACTTCTTGGTTCTAGAAATCTAAATCACCTCAGATAAGTCAAATGTACACCTAAGCAGAAATAAAACCTGTCCGTACAGAAAAACATATTTTCCGGTCTGATCGTCAGATATTCTGTTTCTTTATCAATAAAAAACTCCAAGATGTGAATGATGCTTCTTTGCATGTTCTGCTTAGAGGGTCGGGTGTCCATAGGGTAAATGGCTTTAATGCTGAGATAATGTGCCTGTTTCATCC